TCTCTATAACATACAGAAGTTGAAATATCAATACAGGCGTAAAAAGCATTTAGGAGGGGAGAACATATTGAAAGAAACTTACGGGAACGGTTCCCAGCAACCGGAAAGGATGAGTCCGTTGTTGGAATAATATCACCGGAGGCAACTGTAACAAACCGTTCCATCCACCCTCGGTCGCTGCCATCATCCATGCTAGAAATCAAAGCATGGTGACCACACTTCCAAAAATTTATCATCCCCCCGCGGAAGATCTTGGAGAAGTACAGATTCATCATGTGAGCTCTTCTCTGGTGCCAAAGCACAAGCGCCAAAGGCAGGCAACCGTCCTCCACACAGAGGTTCTTACCTGTGCCAAACATACCTGGTAGTGAAGACAAAATTCTGCTATCATGGAATCAAGCTCCCCACTCAAAGTGAACGTGCCCAAGGTAAAAGGGTATGTGTAAAAATATGTGAAACCCTCTCTAGGAAGGATAACTCACTCCGATAGGTCGGGAGCGATGATGTCCAAATTCAGGCAGCACCAGTCTTCCTTCATAGTAGGGATACTGGAAGGACGAATAGAAGATGAATACCTGCTACGCCCATGTACGGGGGTTATCGGTGGAAAATTTCTCCTCCAAATCCTTCAAAGTACTGAGCCTTTTGGGTATTATGGAACTCACTGTTGAAGGATCATAATCTTCATTTTTGTTCTTATTCTTCGAAGAACCAGAACGTTTAGATGAAGAAGCCATTGGAAGAGGGGAAGAAAACGTTATGTGTTTGGAAGAAATTAGAAAAGAGATGTAGAACAGGGATGCAGGTTGGAAGTTCAAGCAACTGGTGAAACCTAAAGGAAAAGGGAGTCGATACGTATAGGTAAAAATTTTGGGCGGCTAAAATACATGGCTCCAATTACCTCGATAACCAGCAAAAGGCGTGCTAAATCATAGGAGGACACGTGTTCAAGGCATTAAATGCGGAGAAACCGGCGTCTAATCAACCGTTAGTAACCTTCAAAAGAAATTATAGTAATTCCCGCCAAAAGAAGATTCTCACCAACTTCCCGGTAACACAAAGTTATGTCACCGAAAAGTAGGGGGACTATCTGTATTGAGTAAAAAATGTCACGGTACGTGGCCATTAAAGAAAGGGGACACGTGGAATCGAAGTCGGGAGGACGAAAAACCAGGCACATCTACCTCGTGTGTCACCGAGAAAGGCAAGTCCATAAAGACATTAAACATTTTGCGTCCGCTAGCATTTAATGAAGAATATTCCACAGCATTAAAGGGTAACGACTCATTACAGAAATTTGGGCATTTATGTTTACCGTTAGGCTTCCATTATCACATTCCAATAACTGCCATTAATGGTGGGCCCGACCATTATGCCCACTAAGCTATAAATAATATGCTCAACTATCATTGTAAGACACGATTTTCTGGACATCAAAAGATATATTCTAAAACAACATCTTGATACTATTTTTCTCTCTCTAACTTGTTGTTCTTATCATCATCGTTCCCGAAAAACCTGTCCTCGGGCTCTCAATATCTATCATTTTATATACATTTGAGCTAGATCCGGAATCAACATTACATTCAATTCTCCACTAATGTGTATATCGCCATACATATTATATCGTGATATACATTATCGTAATATACATTCCATACATATTATATATCGTGATATACGTTGTCGAATGTGTGATATACAATGATATCACGATATATATTGTGAGATACATTGTCATAATTGACGATTTTAAGTCTCAAAATCTCAGAACAAAGCATCTATAAATGTGTTATATACTGAGATATGCAGAAGAAAAATAAAATTTTGATATACATGTTGATATACACAAAGAAGGAAAATAGTCAATTTGGGCTACTAGGTGCCAAATCCAAAAAATAGATTTTGTACATAACAATAGCACGGGCTAGCCAATTTTCGGACTGATAATTAAAAAATAGCCAGCGTTTGCAAAGTCATTAAAAAATAGCCACTATTTTGCTGCAACACGAAAAGTTCCAGCATAATATACTGGAGATTGGTGCACCTGTGTATGAACTTCCAGCATATTATATTGGAACTCCAGCGCACGGAAAGTTCCAGCATAATATACTAGAGATTGGAGCACATGTGTATGAAATTCCGGCATAATATGCTGGACCAGTATATTAAGCTGGAACTCCAGTATATTATGATGGAGTTCCGGTATAATTTATACCGGAACTCCATCATAATATACTGGAGTTCCAGCTTATGAAAGTAGCTGAGATGAGGATGTTGAGATGGATGTGTTGGCATACTAGGTTGGATAGAATTAGGAACGAAGTTATTCGGAACAAGGTAGGAGTGGCCCCTGTGGAGGCTAAGATGTATAAGGCGGGGTTGAAATGGTTGGGGCATGTTAAGAGGAGAAGCACAGATGCCCCAGTCAGGAGATGTGAGAGGTTGGCCTTAGGAGGTGAGATGAGGGGTAGAGGTAGGCCAAAGAAGTCTTGGGGAGAGGTGATCATGCGGGACATGACGCAGCTTGAGCTAACCGAGGACATGACCCTAGATAGAAGGGTGTGGAGGTTGAAGATTAGGTTAGAAGGTTAGTAGGTAGTCGTGCATTTCTCTTTGACTTTTATAGTTCGATAGTATTAGTGCTAGTACGGTACCCTTTTTTCCTTAGTGTGCTATATTCGCATGTCATGTTCTGTTATTACTTGTCATCAGTAATTCTGTAGTTTGCTGGCAGTACTTCGTTCATATTCTCGTTTGCTGCCTTGAATTTAGTTTTCTAAATATATTATCTTTCTATTACTTATTATCGGTACCTCTTTCATATTCTTTGTTTCTATCTTCGATTTAGTTTTCTAATGATGTAGTGTCTTGCTATTACTTACTATCAGGGCTTCTTTCATCTTCTTTAGTCGAGGGTCTATCGGAAACATTCTCTCTGCCCTGCTAGGGTAGGGGTAAGGTTGTGTATATCATACCCTCCCCACACCCCACTTGTGGGATTATAGTGGGTTGTTGTTGTTGTTGTTGTTGTTGTTGTTGTTGTTGTTGTTGTTGTTGTTCCAGGATAATATACTGAAACTTCAGTATATTATGCTGGAATATTTTCCGGAATTTGAACAATGTTTTCGTTCAGATTTATCTTTACATGAAAAGTGGCTAAATTTTGATTACTTTTGAAACTGTTACTATTTTTCAATTATCACTTGTAAATCTGGGTATTTTTGAGTTTGACTCCTTTTTTACGCCAATTATTGGACCAGATTGTCATGGAATGTCAAATTCCCCTAAATTACAGGGTTTAAAATCTTTAATTTATGCTCTTAATAACTTTCTTTAACACATATACAAGTTCGGAATCGAAAGTATTGAATTTAAATAAACTTACAAAATGAATACTAGATTCCCCCTGGGTTAGATCCCCCACCACAGGGTGAAGAGAAGAGTAGGTGATTAATCTATTACAACAATTAGATGAGCTGCTAACGAACCTTCAAATTCACAATATTGGTTTTCTAGGCGCTTGGACAAGCATTTGACGAATAGAATAAGAACTTTTTTAGGCGCTTTTTTCATATGTTGATAAAATATCGAATTAATGTTCTAGTTTAAGAGTAAGTGTCGCAGTTCAGCATAAACTTGATAATTTACTCAATCCGATTCATATTATCTGTATTTTAAGGATGCTATACACTTCTTTATAATTTTAATAAGAAGAGTTTATTTCTAAAGTATTATTCATCTAAAGCATTTCACCTAATTAATAGAGCGGCCACTCTTGAACAAAGTGGTTGAGGGAGTTTTTCCAGTACTAGGTCAAGAGTTCAAGATTGTACCTTGCCAATGAGGAGAAAACTCCACTAATTGGAATTTTAAAAAAAAAGTTTTGAAAAAATATTTTCTAATTGACAAATTGTAAAACAAAGTAAATTTGTCAAAAGTCTGATGTTTGTGATAGGAAGAACTAACTTTTATCCATCTTTAGTTAGTTGAATGAATATCGCAAGTATATTTTATAGAAAGACCACATTTATAATGAATCCCAAAACCATATGCCGAAGACGTAATGATAAGAAATTAAAAATTAAATTTATGACGATATATGGAGTATATTATTTTACCAAACTATAATTTAGTGGCAGAATCATCAGATAGTCATGCTAGGTTGATTCGGATATCACTATTATTTATTATCGATTATAATTATGATTTAGTCCTTTAATTTGGGTTAACACCAAATCAAACCAACTTCTTAGTTTGTTCAAAATATAAACTTAACACAAAATTGATTCAAATCAAACCATAGATACAGTAGTATCAATTTTTTAGGTCAATTTGCTTAATTTTTTTTGGTTGGTCTAGAATACCCCTACTTATTTATACCACATAACGTACCATTTGTCAACAAAATCACAGTATCACACCACTCCTCCTTCCTTTATCAAAACCGAAATTATCCTTCTTATCTCTGTTTATTGTAATAGCATGTCGTTTTATTAGCAAAAAAACAAAAACAAAAACAAAAACAAAATAACACTACTGACTGCTGCCTGTTTGGCTTTACTTTATGCGAGAGTTAGCCTTAGCCACAAAGCTTCTTAAAACTGCGGGCGCCGANATATATATATATATAATTAATTAATGTATAACATATGTATAATCATATATAATAATTATATAATATATGTATATTGCTATAAAAATAAATATTGTATCTGGTCGATTATTTAGGTAAAGATCCCATTATTTTAACCCATCATGTTGAATTGGTAACAGAGTATTAAAAAAAATACTTCTAAAATTTATGATTTAATATATATTATAATATTAGTGTCGTTGTAAAAATTTATTATTAAAAACAAAAAAAAAATGAGTTAAATTTATTTTAAATATAAAAATATTAGTATTATATACAGATTAGGAAAGAAATAAATAGGACGACTGTTATATGCACAGAACAGGAGGTATATGCTTCTATATATACACAACACACACATAAGCCATACAACTTCTCATACCCTCAAAAATCTCAACAAAACATCGTATACACGGAAAACCCTTTTGTCTTTCTCTCTCACCTCGCTCCAGCAAAAACTCCTCAAGAAAAAAGAATACTATTTCCCCCTTTTTATTTCAATTTTAAGGAGAGAAATTGCAGTGAGAAGAAATAAATAGTAGTAAAAGAAGAGAAGATGTGTTTGTTCTCATGTGTATGTGAAGAAGATGAGAAAGAGCTAGGAAGAAAAGTAGCACCAGGGGCTTGTCCTTGTTGTGGAGGAAAAGTACAAGCTGTAGATGTAGAAGGCCGTTTCAGATTTTGCTTTCTCCCTATTTGCTTTAGGTTCAAGAGGAAGTATCTCTGTACTCTCTGTTCTAAGCGTTTGGTTTTGTATTCTTGATCTCCCTATTTTCCTCTTGTAATTTCTACTCTCAATTTTTTGAACAGCATCCTATAAGTGTAATTATTTATTTGAAATAGTGTTTGAGAGTTGTTCATTTGCTCAAGAATATATGAAACTTTTGTAGTTGTGCTCAGTTATGAGAATTTACAAAATCGAGGTTTTCCAATTGACTGTTTATAGCTCGGTATCAGAAAAATAAATATATTGTCGGTATTAAGGAATTTTTAAACCTTCAGGTAGTTTTTATTTGTTGTTTTAAGATTATAAATTTTACATTTTAAGGAAGTTTACCTATACATGGTCGCAAAAAGTTCTTTGCATTGACTGTGCTTGTAACTCTAATGACAAAGCCAACTGTCTTAATGCTAATTGGGATTCAGGCTCCTAATTAATTTTCAGCATATTGCATTCTGCATTCATTGTTAGAGACTCCCATTTCACCTCTGCGTATTGTATTCTCAGTGTTTCCAACTCTTAATAAAGGTCTTGGATTCGAGTCCTCGTAGCAATCGAGATATTTTAAATTTAGTGAATTTGGAATAGGGAAAACAATATATGTGGCAGATTTGAGTAGCCACGTACTTGTCCATTTCATTGCCCAAATCTTGGTCAGACTAGTTGACCCAATTAACCCCGCCACAGAAATGTGTGAATGGCATGTGTCCTGCTCGTGGACCAAAACATACTCCAAATACCTTTAGGCCTTGGCCAAATTAAGGAAGCTTCCTAACAACGTGGTCTGTTTCCCTTGTGTTGTCGAAATTGAACTCTTTGATTCGATCAAGCTCCTGGCTTTGCAGGATTTGGTACTTTGGAGATTGTCCGATGCGGATTTAGGATTTAAAACTATGGTTTAATCTTTAAAGTTTTTGCATTGAACTTTTTTTATGCTAAAAATTATGGATCATATTTATTATCTGTTGTAACTTTCGTGAATTTTTACACATAAATTTATGTTTTACGTCAAAAAATATTGCATTCAGCTGAATCCGGCGTCACAAGGCTAGGTCTTATTTGGAGTACTTCATCGTGGTGGAGGACGACTTGTTCTTAATTTTCTAGTTGAATTGAGCAGCTCCATCCTTTGAATTTTTAAGTTATATAAACTGACAATTTATACAACTATTAGTATAATTTAACTGCTTATAACAATTTGTTTGTTTATCTTTTTAAATTATCATATTAGGTTTGATTGGTTCAGGCAGTTACTTGCTATCGCAAGTCAATGACACTGTTGAGTCCATAGACATAAACATCCTATGTAATATTCTGTATCTCAAGGTTCAATTTCTTGGTCTCTCTTTTGGCGCTTTTCTTGGAATAAAATTGAATGAACTGAAACGAGATAATAACAGAAATTCGAACATCTAAAGTGAGTTTGAAGCCAATCATCCGAACCAAATGTAATGTGTCTTTTATTTACGTGCACTTTTCCCCCCTTGTTTCGTTATTTATGTTAATTTTTATGTGCACTTTTTTCGTTAAAGTAAGAGAGTATTTTGAGTAACAGTAAAGTTGTTTCTGTGGTCACAAGTACGAGTTGTGAAAATAATCATTAATGCATGCATTAGGGTAGGTTGTATACGTCATACTTCTTGAATTACGATCCTTCTTCGGACTATACGTGAACGTTAGATTTTTTGTGTAACGGACTGTTTTTTTACTTGGTCTATAAGATCTTACCCGAAAGTTATGGCACCACCTACATACTATACACCTGATGGATGTGATACAGGCATTTGTAACTTTGTATTGCTTTTGGACAAGATAGAATTGTTGAGACATTAATGTTTTTCTTTTTAAAAAAAAATCAGTTGATAACGATCCCCATACCTACTAATGGCCAACTTTACAAATTATGAGAAAAATCGAGGCACTACCCAGCCAGTTTAACTTTTTCAGATGGTTCTCGGGCCTTCGCTTAATAGTATTTTGACTTTTCAGCGAATGAAAACATAAAAGTTGTCCCCCCAGAAAAAAGTGTTCTCACTCTTGTAGTAATACAATTAAGTATTATTCGTCACGTGAGTTCTACCATTTCTTTAAGTCAGGATATACAATTGTAATTGTTTGACTGAGAGTAAGTAAACAAGTTTAGTTTTCCTACCTGTTTTCTGGAGCTTCACTTGGCAAGCTTATGAGCATAAAGAGAAAAAGAAGTTGTATACTTCTTCTCATTTAATTGCTTAAATTAATGTGAAAGGTACGTACAAGGTTATTTTTTGTTACAACTATCACAAGAGCTTCTAAACGTATAGTCGTAAAACTCACAGTATTGACTTCCAAATCCGACGGGTCATAAATAATGAAGTAACAATAACCCGAGAAGCAGCAGAGACACTATTTTTAATTTATGTGAAAGAGTGTCCAATATCAGTTTACTTCTTCTAGAAAAACCTCCCTTTCATTTTCAAATATTTTCGACAAATTTACCACGTTGTTGCTAAAGCAATTAGTCAAATACACGAGAACTATATTAACAAAGTTATTGCTTATCAAATTAGGAAACAATAACAGAAATGAGGGCAAAACATTTTAATTATGAAAATAACACAATAAAAATAGAGAACGAAAAAGAATAAAATAGTAGGTAAAGTGTCCTTATCCGCTAGGGTCACCAAACCCAATGTAACATAGCAAATCCCTCATTAGCGTTCTCGAAACTCAAGTTCTCATTCCCCTATAGAATCACCAAGCAGGGGCTGAGTTCAAATATATAGCTTTTGACTTGTACCGAACTTATTAGCTTTGATTCAAATCTTATATTTGTCTTAAAAATAATAAATATGTACAAAAGCATTAACAATATACCCAGTATAATCTCGCATAGTGGAGTCTGTGGAGGATAGTTGTATGCAGATCTTATCCCTACCGTATGGAGATAGATTGATTATTTTTAATAAACCCTCGGCTTAAAAAAAAATTTATAAGTTATTAATTTAGAACCTAATAATTTAAAGGGGCTAATACTGAATATAAGCTTCTAATCCTGCCTTTCCTATTGGCTGCTAATTAACAATCCTTTATTCCTCGTATCTGCAGTGCACTCAAACCGCAACAAGCGGCTTTCTGTTAAATAATAATACATGAGAATTTGCATATCATATTAAAGCCAATGCTACGATATGATGGACCTTTAATATATCCAGACTGTTAAAAGATTCTAAACTAAGGATTAAAGATTAATAATAACATTAGTACATCGTCATTTGCTATACCGTGCAGTAAGTACATAAGCAACGGCGGAGCTAGAGTGTCTAGAGCGGGTTCGGCCGAACTTTGGTTTGAATTTTTTATTTGTCATAAAAATTTATTAAATATATAAAAATTATTACTTTAGAATCAAATAATTTTAAACAATTAAAATTTTGAACCTATAAGTTTAAAATCCTAGTTTCGCCTAGGTATAAGAGAAGATTATTAATGTTGTCACGAAATTAATCCAATGATCAAGATGTCACACTTTAAGTAGTAATGTCTCAAGCTTGAGTTCATTAGCCACTTGACACTGTTGTCCAACTAGATTTCCCTCTTCTCTTGTACTATATATGTAATAGAAAAATCTTCGTACGATACTATTTTTTTTAAATTACCTGCAGATTTTTCTAGTTGAACTCATATTAGGATTCCATAATCACTTTTTCTCCTAAAATATGGCCTACCTTGTCCCTTGAGAAAATTCGAGGATATGATGATAGGTGTCGATCGATGTCTTTGTTCTTCACTTTGTCATTACACATGAGAAAAGCTACAGTTTTTGAGAAAATTAGAAAGATTAACTTCAATAATGGAGAGCAAATGGAGCCCAATAATTTATTTGGGCGTTGAAAAATAAGAAGCATGTCATTTCTATTACTGTAGTGGACAAAATCCAGTTTGCTCCCTAAATTTTTGGGAGATCGGTATTCAGGATTGCTGTCAAAATATAATTATTAATAAAGTGCATTAAGGGTCCGTTTGGCCATAAAAATATTCATTTTTTTCGAAAAAAAATCACTTTTTTTCAGAATTAATGTTTAGCCATGAAATTTTTAAATTTTATTTGAAGTTGAATTTCAGATTTTTTCGATTTCAAAAACCTCAAAAAACTTTTTTTCAAAATTTTTACTTCAAACCACTCACAAAAATTCAAAAACAACTTCAAATTGTATTCATGTCCAACCACAACTCTAATTTTCAAATACCATTTTCAGTTGAAATAAAATCACTTTTTCTGGAGTTTCACAATTCTTATGTACAAACGCCCACTAAATATTTTTTATTCAACGGATCATGAGATTGATTTTCCGACCAGTGCTATATAGGTGAGTTAGCAGATTAGATCCCGGTAGAATTTTGGAAGAACGCGGACAAGGCAGGTTTGGAGTGGCTTATTAGGTTGTTTAATGTTATTTTTAGGATGACGAAGATGTCCGAAGAATGGAGGTGGAGTACGGTGGTTCCAGCGTACAAGAATAAGGGTGATATCCAAAACTGCAATAACTACATGGGTATCAGGCTGCTAAGCCACACAATGAAAGTTTAGGAGAGGGTGGTAAAAGTAAGGATGATGAGGAGTATATCTATTTCTGAGAACCAGTTCAGATTTATGCCAGGGCGATTGACTACTGAAGCCATTCACCTTATTAAGAGACTGGTGGAGTAGTATAGGAATAGGAAGAGGGACTTGCACATGATATTCATTAATCTAGAGAAAGCCTATGACAAAGTCTCAAGGGAGGTGCTATGGAGATGTTTGGAGGTTAGAGGTGTGCATGTAGCTTATACTAGAGTGATTCAGGATATGTATGATGGTGCTAAGGCTCGGGTTAGAACGGTGGGAGGGGACTCAAAACATTCCCAGTTGTGATGGGTTTTCATCAGGGATCCGCTCTCTTAGCACGTTTTTATTTGCCATAACGATGGATGTTCTAACACAGCACATTCAAGGGAAGGTGCTATGGTGCATGTTATTCACTGATGATATAGTATTGATTGACGAAATGTGGGCCGGTGTTAGTGCAAGGTTGGAGGTCTGGAGACGAACATTTGAGTCAAAAGGTTTCAAGTTGAACATCACTAAAATGGGGTACTTGGAATGTAAAGTCAGCGGCATGACTACGGAAGAGGATGTGGAAGTGAGGCTAGATTCACAAGTAATTCCCAAGAAAGGGAGTTTTAAGTACCTTAGATCTATAATTTCTAGTAATGGAGAGATAGACGAGGATGTCACGCATCATATCGGAACGGGATATATGAAATGAGGGCCCCGCTTTCAAAATTTTGTGTGATAAAAAGGTACCACCAAGACTCAAAAGTAAGTTTTATAGAGTAATGGTCACACCAATTATGTTGTATGGGGTGGAGTGTTGGCCGGTCAAGAACACCTATGTACAACAGATGAAAGTAGTAGAAATAAAGATGCTGGTATGGATGTGCGGGCATACCAGGGTAGATAATATTAGGAATGGAGTTATCCAAGACAAGGTGGGAGTGGCCCCCAGAGGGATAAGATGCGGAAAGCTAGACTGAGATGGTACTGAAATATGAAGAGGAGGAGTATAGATACCCTGGTGAGTAGGTACGAGAGGTTGGACATGGTGGGGTTGAGGAGAGGTAAAGATAGGCCTAGAAAGTATTGAGGAGAGATGATTAGGCATGACATGACGCAACTTCAGCTTACTGAGGACTTGACCCTTGATAGGTGGGAGTGTCTCATTTTCATGTCGGTATATAACACTAGTATTAATCTCTTATTTTCATACCTTCTTATTTGTAGGTTTCTTTTATCTTATGTTTATCCTTTCGTTTCGATTATTCTTTCATCATGTCTCCTTATCACCTAATCTTTTTTATGTTACTACATGTTGTATCTTCTTCTTTTATTTTTACCTTGAGCCAGAGGTCTATCGGAAATAACCTCTACCTTCATAAGGTAGGGGTAAGGTCTGCGTACACTCTATCCCTCGACCCTAATTTATAAGATTATGATAGGTTTGTTATTGTTGTTGTTATTGCTATAGGTGAGTTAAAATGGCAATGAAAATTGGAGAGACCAAAATGAGCAAGATAGGACTAGAAGGATGGACTTTCAACACATATAGAATTTTAGCCTCTTTTTAAAAATATTTACCATATTACTTTGCCATGATTTATCATCGGCTAATCGCAATCATATATTCTAATGTCATGTTATTTTCTCTTACACCGTATTGGATATAAGGCTAGTCTGTTAGTGTCTTATTTTAGTATGTTAGTACCTTGCCATTGTTTCTGATTATTAATATTATTTTATTTATTTATTTTTTTGATTCTTAGGTCGTTGGTACTATCTTTCTGGCCTCGATATATTGTTGTTACAATTCTATTATCTCTTTTCATCTTCTTGTGCCAAAGATCTATCGAAAACAGTCTCTCTACCCACATGGTAGGGATAAGGTCTGCATATACACTACCCTGCCTAGATTCCACTTGTGAGATTATACTGGGTTGTTGTTGTTGTTGGCTATCACTTGTACACCAATAAATGCCTCTTAAGGTAATTAACATAATACGACGATGTCTTAGTGATAGGGTTAGCTTTTTTATCATAGTTAAAAGTAGGATTAATTTAGCATATGATCACTCTACTTTACTTTATTATACTAAAGTTACTATACTATTTTGTATTCTCAACTCTGCCTAAGTATCTCAGAATTAATAGTTTTTATAACTAAAAAGTCACTCAACTCTATCTAAGTATCATGGAGTAATATTTTCTTTATTGTCACTATGTTTACTTTGTTTTCTCCTAGTAATTTTCTATGGTACTTAGCCAAATATGAGTGATTCTTTTATTACAAAGAGTAGTTTTGTGTGCCTTTCTATGATACTTAGTTTGAAGTAAAATTTTCATTATAAGAAAGAGTTAGACTTTTATGCAATAAAATGGAATTTACATGATCATACATGTAATTAACCCTAGAATGAATATTATTAATCCTGTGAAAGGAAAACTGATAGGTTATATGTATCCCTGCTATTTTTTGATGATCTAACAAACTTAATGATAAGAACTAGATAAGGAACCTGTTACACATCCTCAAGTACTTAAAGAATAAAAAGTCTCAAGTCGGGGACGTGGTTCAACTCTTCAGAGTCAAAGGAACAACAGAGGGAACATATGGCCACCAGTTCCCTTGGTGATGGTACAAGTCAGCTCCTCACAGTTGTAAAGTTGATGCCTGCACACGCAACAGTGCAAAAATAGTGCAGCAATCAACTTTATGGGAATGCCCTTTACCTAACTTATTTGCATCATTCAAGTGATGTCACAAATGAACTATTAACATCAAGCAAAGGCAAAACAAAACACTTGCACATTCAGAATCGATCAAGTATTCTCTCAAGTCTGTCTCAATCTTGCAAGTGATTCTCAAGGGCATCAAGAACAAAGAACAACATAACGAAGGACCAGTTTCCTGTATTGAGTCATTACATGTCCTTAGTTGTGTTGCACCTTTGTTAAAGTACTTTACTTGTAATTCCTACTTAGCTTAGTTAGAAGCATTGTATAGGAAATCTTTGTAAAATTATAAGCCGTGTGTTTGTGTCTTGGCTAGAGTTAGTCGAGTTGTTAGTCTTTGTAATAGAGTTATTACAAAGTGGCTTGTAATAGAGTTATTACAAGTTAGTGAGGGATTAAGAGGTTAATTCCTTGGTTACAATAGGTTGTAATCTAAAGTTTGCTCAGTAGTGAAGTTGAAATTCTACAAGGGTAGGTCATGATTTTTAATCTCGTGAGTTGGGAGTTTTTCACATAAAATTCCATTATGTCATTTACTTACTGCTGTGTGCGTGCGTTCTGTGGGAACTTATAGAGAACTTGGTTCTCTACATAGTTTGGTAGACCCTTAGTTTCTATCAATTGGTATCAGAGTAGGTTCTTTCTAAAAGGTTAACACCTAGATAAGATCTTCATCATGACTGCTCCACCAAACTTTGAGGAAGGACAATCAATGTACATACCACCTAGATTCAACGGCCAATACTATGGTTGGTAGAAAACAAGAATGCATGATTTCATTATGGCTGAGGACTCAGAGTTGTGGGATATAATCTGTGACAGACCTTTTGTTCCCATGAGAACTGTTGATGAAGGAACAACTATAGTCCCAAAAATGAGAAAAGAGTACAAGGATGCTGACAGAAAGGCTATTAAGAAGAATTTCAGGGCTAAACAAATTCTTGTCTGTTGCATCGGACCAGATGAATACAAAGCATCTCAGCTTGTCAGAGTGCTAAGGAGATCTGGGAAGCTCTTCAAACAGCACACGAAGGGACAACTCGAGTCAAGCAGTCGAAGATCGACATGTTGACAACTGAGTGTGAGCTCTTCAGAATGAAGGACGACGAGTCCATCCAGGACATGCACACTTGCTTCACCTCTATCATCAATGCGCTTCACTCACTAGGATAAATCATTCCCAGGAACAAAATTGTCAGGAAAATACTTAGTGTATTACCTGGTTCCTGGGAAAGCAAGGTAAACGCCATCACGGAGGCAAAGGATTTGCAGAAGCTGACCATTGATGAACTCATTGGTAATCTGAAAACTTATGAAAAGAATAAGAAGGACAATGAGAGAAGAGAGCCCAAAAGGGAGAAAAGCGTGGTCCTCAAGACACACAAAAATGACTCAAGTGGTGAGGATGCCGACATGGCTTACCTGACAAAGAAATTTTAGAAAATGGTTCGCAGAAATGGAAGTATTCCAAAAAGGGGCAGCTCTAGCAAGACAAGAGGCTATGACCTATGTCATAAGTGTGGGAAACCAAGACATTTCATCAAGGATTTCCCCCTTCTTAAGCAAGATCAGTACAAACACAACATAGACAAAGCAGTCAAAAGGAACCAGGTTCTTGACAAAAAGTTCAGGAGAAAAGATACCGCTGACAATGTTGTGAAACAAACTCTTGCTGATTGGGAAGACTCCTCCAGTGAATCTGGAGATGATGATGATCAAGGTGATAGCTCCATGATGGCAGTAGAAAGTGAAGCAGCTGAATATGATTCCATATTTGCTCTAATGGCTAAATCAGATGAGGATGAGGAAGATGACGATGAAGATGAGGTAAACTTTCTGGATGTTCAAAGAAATTTGAAATCCTATTTTCAAAAGAAGCTTATATCTTTGGCTAATATTTTAATTGATGCTTATCACAGTCTCATTAATGATAAAAATGTGCTAACCATGGAACTATGAGAAATAGAACACGAGAGAGATGATCTAGTGGTGGTTACGATTGATCTAAGAGAGACCATTAAGAGTTTAAAAAGGGAAAAGGATATTTTGACAGAGAGAATTGCAAACATAGAGCATGAGAGAGATGACCTATTGGTAGTAGTTATAGACCTAAAGGAAATAATTGAGGAATTAAGAAGGGAAAGTAGGGCTATGAACACTCAAAAGGGAAAGGAAGTTGCAAGTGAGGCACACCTTATGCTTGAAAATGAGCTAAAATCAGTGAAATCTAGTCTGTGTGCTGAGCTTGAGAAAAACAGACAACTTCAGGAAGATCTAGGCAGAGTGAATAGTGACCTAGAAAAATCTCTTAAGTGGACCTGATCCTCTGATGCAATCACTTCTATGTATACGAACAATGGGGGGAACAGGCAGGGAATCGGGTTCAAAAAAGAAAAAACCCCTTACAACCCACACAACAAGTGCATTACTATTCCTGATAATTGGCTCTGCACTCACTGTGGTAACACTGGACATTTCAAGGAAACATGTAAAGTCAGATTCCAGTCCCAACAGAAAAACAAAGTTTTTGCTGAAAAAGTAACTATTGCTAAAAAACTTGCTCCCTCATATAACAAACGTATATTGCCTGCTTGGACAAAAAGAACTTTGATTCACCCATTTCCTCATTACAAGGGACCCAAGCTTGTTTAGGTTCCTAAGTCTAATCCTTGATTCTCTTGTGCAGGGAGAAGTGAAAGGAAGCAGCCAAAGATGGTATATGGATAGTGGTTGCTCGAAGCATATGACTGGAAGCACTAATGATTTCCTTTCACTCAAAGCCCTGCAAGGAGGGAGTGCATCCTTTGGAAATGGCAAAAAGGGATACATTCTTGGAGCAGGAAGAATTGGGAAGTCTTCACTCACTCAATCGAAAATGTGTATTACGTGAATGGCCTGAAATACAGCTTGCTGAGTGTCTCTCAAATCTGCGACAAAGGAAACAAGGTGGAATTTGTGTCAAAAATCTACACAGTCACAAATCTTGTGACTAGTGATGTGATCCTGATAGCAAAAGGATACAAGAACATCTATGTCACTGATTTTGAGTCACTACATAATGGGGATCTCACGTGTATGAGTGATGTGTATGATGATGCTGAACTATGGCACAGAAGGTTGGGCCATGCAAGTTTTACACTGCTGAACAAGTTGGTCAGGAAGGACCTGGTTCGTGGATTGCCTAAGTCAAGCTTCAAAGATCACAAGGTGTGTGATGCATGTGCAAAAAGAAAGCAGATCAGGTCCTCCTTCAAACCCAAAAAGTAAGTAAGCACCTCAAGGCCACTTGATCTCCTCCATATGGATCTATGTGGACCTATGAGAGTGCCAAGTAAAGGAGAAAAGAAGTACATTTTTGTCATTGTGGATGACTACTCCAGGTTCACATGGACCTTGTTCCTCAGAACCAAAGATGAGACCTTTTCAGTGTTTGCTGCCTTTGTTAAAAAGAGCCAAGTAAAGATGAGCCATAATGTTGTGAGTATAAGATCTGATCATGGTACAGAATTCGACAATGCAAAGTTCAACGAGTTCTGTGCTAAAAATGGTATAAGTTACAATTTTTCAGCTCCAAGAACACCTCAACAAAATGGTATCGTGGAGAGAAAAAATAGAACTCTTGAAGACATGGCTAGGACAATGCTGATTGTTAGTGGTGTTGCAAAAGGTTTCTGGGCAGAGGCAGTCAACACTGCATGCTGCTTAGTGAACAAGTGCATGATCAGGTCCCTCCTAAACAAAACCCCATATGAACTGCTGAATGGGAGAAAACCTAAGCTAAAACACTTGAGGACATTTGGTTGCAAATGCTTTGTCCTCAACAATGGTAAGGAAGCTCTAGAAAAGTTTGATGCCAAGAGTGATGAAGGAATATTTCTTGGTTATTCATCACAAAGCAAAGCCTACAAGGTATACAACAAAAGAACTCAATGTGTTGAGGAAAACATACATGTGATCTTTGACGAAGCACAACACCCTCTTGGAAAAGCTGCACATGATAAGGCTGATCAAGATGGAGAGTTATCAAATGTCCCTGGTGAAGTTATTGACATGGCAAATGGAAATGCCGATATGATGAGTCAGGTCAATGAATCAAATGACAATGGCACAGCTGAATCTCCAGTTGACATAGAGGAACCTGGTTCCTCAATCACAATAACTGAAGCAGAAAACAGAGTTGTGGATGTTGTACATAGAACTCCAGCTGCTGAGGTGAGGAACAGGACACATGGATCACATGCAGAAGAATTTGGAACCTCTCATAATGAGATTCAGGTGTCCAACTGGAAGCACAAAAGCTCATACCCTCTTCAAAATGAGATCACCCCCTTGACTCAGGAATTCAAACTAGATCAAAGTCTAGAAACTCTCTTGCCTTCTCTGTATTTCTCTCTCAAATTGAGCCCAAAAATATCAAAGAAGCATTGAAAGATGCTGACTGGATTACGGCTATGCAAGATGAGCTTCATCAATTTGAGAGGAACAGTGTATGGCACCTGGTTCCTCGACTGGCTGACAGAACTGTCATAGGAACCTGGTGGGTATTTAGAAACAAACTTGATGAGTTTGGAAACACCACAAGAAATAAGGCAAGGTTAGTAGTTCAAGGGTACAATCAAGAAGAAGGAATTGTCTATGATGAAACTTTTGCTCCAGTTACTCGAATGAAGGCTATCAGAATCCTTATTATCTTTGCATCTCATATGGAATTCAAATTGTTTCAAATGGATATCAAAAGTACATTTCTGAATGGCTTTCTAAAAAAAGAAGTTTTTGTCAAGCAACCGCCTGGTTTCGAGTTCCATGAGCATCCTGAGCACGTGTTTAAACTTAACAAGGCATTATATGGACTGAAGCAGGCTCCTAGTGCATGGTATGAAAGGTTGTCCAAGTTTCTTCTAGAAAATGGCTTTACAAGAGGGAAAATTGACAACACTCTATTTTTGAAGAAATGTGGGAGGAACCTGCTCATAGTGCAAGTCTATGTTGATGACATTATCTTCGGAGCAACAAATGACTCTTTGTGTGAGGAATTTGCAAGACTCATGGGAAGTGAGTTTGAAATGAGCATGATGGGGGAATTGAATTTCTTCTTGGGTCTACAAGTCAAGCAAACTCCTAGTAGACCAGACATTGTTTTCAGTATGGGACTCTGTTCCAGGTTTCAATCCAATCCAAAGAAGTCTCATCTGAAGGCTGCAAAGAGAATTCTGAGGTATCTCAAAGGAACACAGGACCTGGTTCTCTACTATCCCTCAGGAGATAACTTTTACTTAATAGGGTATGCTGATGCTGACTATGCTGGTTATCTAGTGGATAGGAAACGCACTTCTGGTATGGCACATTTTCTGGGTTCATGTCTAATCTTATGTGGCACAAGAAAACAAAACTCAGTGGCCATTTCAACTGCTGAAGCTGAGTATGTGGCAGCTGCCTCTTGTTGTGCTCAACTGATATGGATCAAGCAGCAGCTAGAAGATTTCGGTATATTTTTTGATTATGTACCCTTACTATGTGACAACACTAATGCTATCAACATGGCAAAAAATCCAGTTCATCATAAGAGAACAAAGCATATTGATGTGCGACATCACTTCCTCAGAGACAATGTTGAGAAAGGGCTCATATGCATGAAGTTTTGCAGCACAGAAGATCAAATTGCAGATATCTTCACCAAAGCACTGATCAGAGAGCACTTTGAAAAGTATCGCTTGGCACTAGGGTTGATGAAATCTAGCAAGGGACCTGGTCCCTCGATGATTGGCTATGAAAGAAATGTACAGGTAAAATAGCTAAAAAAGTGTTTTCTGGCAAAGTCTAACTCATCTCTATACCATTGTAGGTAGACATGCATGACGATTACAGAGCAAACAAGTAGCCAATGATATCGCATTTCAGTCAAAAGAATGAAGTTCACATTTACAAAATCTTTCAGGGAACCTGGTTCCTTTGACACAGGTTAGTAGTTTCTATATACTCTCATCCACATCTTTTAAATGGCTGAAATGGTGCCACGTCATTAAAATGTCAATCCTTCCTTTCTCTCTCTTTTTGGAACTCAAGCGTCCTACCCATTATGAAATGACCCGTATACCCAACTTGATAACCGTTCCTAACCGGTCCTTCACCCCTCTTAAATAACCTCTCTCACGGTCACTATCATAACTGTTCACATCAAAGCCAAAAATTTCCTTTTTCCTTCAAACCAAACACTATCTTCTTCCATCAAACTCTCACTATCCTCCACCATGTCTGAAAATCTAGAGACTCAGACTGTTCCAAGCATCATCCCCACTGTGTCATCACCCATTGAAACCTCAGTCCTAGAACCTACAATCCTTACACCATCTAGTCCAAACCCTAAGCTAGAGTCACAACCACCTACTAGTTCCTCTCCAACTCAGTTGAGCACTGGCTCTCATAGGAGTCGCAAAACCTCGGCTCCCAAGAAATTTGTGGCAGCAATCTCTCCTTCTGTATCATTGGAAAAAATGGTAGAAGCAGATACAGTGGCAAAAAAAGACAATCAGGAAATTTCTAGTCGACCAGTGGAAGAATGTTCTGAGATGCAAGGAGTGAGTTATAACAGCGATGAATCGGCAAAGACTACCCTAGGTCTTGATTTGAATCTCGCCGAGTCTACAAGTAATGCTCTTCTTATGTCTTCTGAGTTTACTTTGGGTTTGCAAGAACAAGAGGCAATAGAGAATATGTTGTCAATCGCTGCTGAGGGCTGTGTAGTTGGTGAGTATGAAGGCGTATCTAAAACAAATGGGTCTAAGGGGGAAGGTTATAGTTTACTAGTGGAGGAAAGGGAACTAGTTCCTATAAAAAAATCTGGCACCAGACAGTACTACTGGGGAACTTCCTGAGGGACCTGATCCCTCCACACAAGAGGAGCACTATGCTCCTACTTGGGATGAAACTCCCTATTCTTCTAAAGAACCCCAGGTCAGTACTGATCCCGCTCCCTTTCCTCATTTCTATGCTGAGCCATTGGCCATTGTTCCTCCCGAGATGAGATCTCTATCTGAGGAGAAAAATGAAGGGAGTGAAGAAGACTATGACAATGTGGCTCTTGCGAGCTTCATCAGGGCTAGGAGTAGTCAAGAAACTCCCCAAGAGTCAACTTCTAAGAGACCTATTACTAGGTTGCAGAAGAAGGAAGAACTTGAGTCAGTTTTACGTAAAAGTAAAAAGCAAAAGAAGAAGAGGAGATTGGTGAAAGATGGAAAGGTTGTAAATGAGAAGGTAGTGCCTCCTACACTAGTTGTTGATGTTGATGATGAGGTAGAAGAGGAACCTGGTTCCTTGGTTCGTAAGTCCTCAAAGAAACTTACTCTTCCAAAGTCCAAAAGGGAGTCATCTGTGAGTGAAATGGACTTGAGCAAGGTTGAGGGTGAAAAATCTTGTGAGAAAGTAGGTGAGAAATCTGGTGAGAGAGTGGTTGAGGAGTCTGGGAAGAAAGTGACTGAAGAGTTGGTTGAACAAGTGTCTGAGAAAATGGTGTCTGAGAAATCTGTTGAGAAAAGAAAAAGTGCAAGACAATTAGTGAAAAGGAAGGCTAGTGCCAATGAAGAACCTGGTTCCTCCAAGAAGGCCAAGGTTGGTGCAACCCAGGATGCTGGAAGGGAAAAATTGAGAATCCAAAAAGTACTGTGGGGCCATATATTTGCCCCTGATATTCTGGATATGTCAGGAATGCGCCAATTGGTGGAGATATGTGAATTCTAATAGTGGACACATCTATTCACAACTGACAATCCCAAGGTATATGAGGCAGAAATGCGTAGTTTCTATGTTGACTTCTTAATAGTTGAGGATGATAACATTTGTTTGAAAGTGAACGGTGTTAATTTTGTGATGGACATTACTGTACTGGGAGCCATTTTGGGCGTGCCCACTGATGGGATGTCCTCCATTGAGGAGGTATGCTCTACAAATTTCAGAAATGTCATTATTAAGGATAAGGCAGTGCAACAAGGGGTACAGGTACACAAGAAGGCCCTCCTTCCAGTATACCAACTGCTATTTGAAATAGTGAACAAAGTTCTGGTCTCACGTGCTGAAAGATGCTCAATTACATCACGAGCAGACTTGGTTCTCATGAAAGCACTGGATGGCTACACCACTATAAACCTGCCTGGTCTTATGATAGAGCACATGAAGAAAGTAGCAGAGTTCAAGGAAGGTAATCATGGGTTGCCTTACGGGTTTCTCCTCACTAAAGTGTTTGAATTCTTCAAGGTTCCTTTGGGACAGGATAAAGTATGAACTTGTAAGCAATCTTTCTCTAAAACCACCCTTGAAGAGTGTGAGTGCATTGATAGGAGTGGAGGGGTTGGCAGCTATTCGACCATTTCTCAGCAGATCAACGCTCAAAATAGTGCCACTGAAGAAATAAGGAAGCCGAAGGCTCGAAATGCCATTCTCGAAGATCCGCTCAGTCAGACCCAGGAGGCAGCTAGTTCCAGTAGTGCCCAAAATACAGAGGTTGCCCGCGTGACAAAGAAAAATGCTGCTCTCAGGAAACAGGTTGAGGACTTGAAGGAAAAGTTGCTAACCGAGCAAGGGTCTGCAAATGCTCGTATGGACATCCTTCTTAGAACCCTTGCCTCTTCCTCTGCCTCCAGTGCTCCCCCTTCCAGTGCTCCTTAATAGCCATCCTGTTCCTAGTGTCCGTCCTCTATTTTTTTTGTCTTAATGATGTTTATGACTGGTACCTTTTGTTATTTTTATTTTGTGGATGGTTTGGTAACAATGGAACTGCTCCCTACTTAATTTCCAAAAATTAGTGGACGTTTCATCCTTTTTGTTGTGTATGTCTTGCTCTTTTGCGCTGTTTTTAGTCATGATTGTGTACACACATGTGGCATNAGATAAGGAACCTGTTACATATCCTCAAGTACTTAAAGAACAACAAGTCTCAAGTCGGGGACGTAGTTCAACTCTTCAGAGTCTAAGGAACAACAGAGGGAACAGATGGCCACTAGTTCCCTTGGTGACGGTACAAGTCAACTCCTCACAGCTGTAAAGTTGCTGCCTCCACACGCAACAGTGCAAAAATAGTGCATCAGTCAACTTTATGGGGAATGCCATTTACCTAACTTGCTTGCATCATTCAAATGATGTCACAAATGAATTATTAACATCAAGCAAAGGCAAAACAAAACACTTGCACATTTAGAATCGATCAAGCATTCTCTCAAATCTGTATCAATCTTGCAAGTGATTCTCAAGGGCATCAAGAACAAAGAACAACATAACGAAGGACGATTTTCCTGTATTGAGTCATTACATGTCCTTAGTTGTGTTGCACCTTTGTTAAAGCACTTTACTTATAATTCCTACTTAGCTTAGTTAGAAGCATTGTGTAGAAAAACTTTGTAAAATCATAAGCCTTGTGTTTGTGTTTTGGCTAGAGTTAGTCGAGTTGTAAGTCTTTGTAATAGAGTTATTAAAAAGTGGCTTGTAATAGAGTTGTTACAAGTTAGTGAGGGATTAAGAGGTTAATTCTTAGGTTACAATAGGTTGTAATCTATAGTTTGCCCAGTAGTGAAGTTGAAATCCTACAAGGGTAGGTCGTAGTTTTTAATCCCGTGAGCTGATAGTTTTTCACGTAAAATTTTATTGTGTCATTTACTTATTGATGTGTGTGTGCGTTCTGTGGGAACTTATAGAGAACCTGGTTCTCTACATAGTTTGGTGGACCCTTAGTTTCTATCAAAAACAAAAAAGAAAAAGAAAAACATCTAGGCATTTAGAGAAAATATTTGCGAGTGTAATCTTGATCACCATAATTCAAGTAGTTTAAAGCAAATAGAACCCGCAAGGCATCTAACGAAAAAGTGCGACACTTTTAAAAGTGAAAAGATTTGTCATACTGTCTCAAAAATCATAGTTTTCCTGATTTTGAAGTTAACCAACCTATGGATCGGAATTTCTTCATTGTAATAGTGAATTCAGCAACTATAGAAACATTGCATTTACCAATATTCCAAGCTTTTAAAGATAAAAATAAACAAATAAATAAATGACGAGTTAGGTAAAATGGCTCTATTAGAAATATCTTCAAGATTTTTCTTTCTTGTTGTAGTAGATTGACCCACCTAACAATTAGGTGTATTATGCATATCCATTTGCTTATAGTAAGGTTTTTATCTCTTATTCAGCCACATTGCTAATTTGTGTAGAAGGTGAAATGCATATAGTCAAAACTTCTTGGGATAAAGTATTTATTTATTATTTGGTCCCATTGCCAGGTTTTTCAAAGAAATAGGAACATTTCCTTTCCTAGTGAGGTTCTAGGAGAAAGCAATTGTAATAATGATTTCTGTAAATAGTCAGAGGTGATAAAGAAATCAAAGAAGGTGGCTGGTCAAATCCACTTAATTAATGGTTGTTGTAACTTGTAATGTGGCATTTTTTTCCTGCGCTTTTAGTTTCTGTTTTCCGAATTGAGTAGAAGGCATTAATAAGGTTGATTAAATGAGTCTAGGACAACGTGAAACATACTTCCTTAATCTCAAATTTTTATCTTTTACATGTTCCTTAATAAATATTAATTAAGAAAAGGGTTTGATTATTTTATCCTTATTTATATCTTAAGATATAATTTCTATTCATTAAATATTTATTTTATTTGTGTGCTATCTTCATCTTCAAGAACAATTATTATTTAGGATAAAATAAAAAAATTATAATTTATTTTATTTAAACTTCTAAAATAACAAATAAAGATATCTATATTTAAAAAGTACGATAGATAATATGAGACGAAGGAGTATTTATCTCGTTACGATTTCCATATGTTCAAGATATATCACATTAGCCTCCCTACATTTGGTAAATTGAGTGTGAGCGCACTCCGGATATATATAATCACATTAAGATTTTTTGAGAGGAACGGACGAGTTTAATTATGTTTAAGATTTCTGTTATCCTAGAGGAAACACAACCCTCTAACGAGTATAGTAAATAAATAAGAACACTAACGTAGAAGCTACACATTAGTTTTAGGAGTAGTTTTGAACATTCATCCTTTTATTTCAAGACATCAGCTGTGGTGAAATTACCTTTCATTCAATTTCTTTTTCTTTTTTTTATCCCCGTCAACCAAATTAGGGGAAAACATTATCACATGTAGGCATAAATACCCACTCTCAAGAATCATATATTAGGTGATTAACTTTATCTAACACAAGCCAAATCTTGAATTTAGATTCAGTGAATTCAAAATAAGAAGTGATCTCATTCTATGTATATATTATACATAATTGTTTTAACATATGTATACGCAATTCAAATCGAAAAAAAAATAATTGAATTTATAAAACTCGTCTTAGATCCACCTCTGTGTTTAACTAATCTAATTAGTGTGGAATAAGAAATATGATTGACGTTCGTAAAAAAAGCCACGGAGCAAAGCATGATCTGACTTCATTTGGGGCAATGTAAGTGAATGAGGAGCATACAAATTTTTCTAGTCAAAATGTGCTAAATATGTTTTTACTTTATGTCTTTTCTGTTCTAATCAAATTGACCTAACTGTCTTTCTCAAATATAGCCATATCCCAGATTATTGGGTTATTATTGCAGTCTTACTTAATAGGAGTACTTAATAAGTGGTTCAAGTTTAAAGTACTTTTTATTTGGCGTACAACCTACGAGCTACTTCCTCTCGGTTCTTCATCAAATTCTTTTGAATTATTCTGAAACTACCTTTAAGTACTTAAATAAAAAACGGGCAGAATATAAAATTGGTCGATCGACATATACTAATTATATTTTCTAATTAAAAAGTATATAAAATATTAATGTTATATGTACATAATACACAAATATATCAAAAATATATATTTTGCCAGCTATTATTTTTGTACAACTAAAAATATATATTTCTTATAAAAAAACTGATAGATATCTAAATGTGGATTAAAGTTGAGGAGAAGTTGTTACTTTCTATGTATTCTCTTTTTCAATTACTGTTTATTTCATTCAGTATGAGGATTAATTTGGTGTAACTAAAAATGATAAAAATGGCTAAGATTGTGGAATTGACATTTGAGAAAGATAAAAGATTAATAAACAAAGAGGAATTTTCATAAAACACTATTGTTTAGTAGCTATTAACTTCCTATAACTACCATATACATAATTACTTCCTATAGCTACTATTCAGTTATTACGGTAGTGTATTCACATGTATTCGCGCTGTTGTATTCATGGATACAACAACAAAATGCGCCTAAAATCAGGGCAATCCAGCCATACGTGCATGTATTCACATGTATTTGCGCCATGTATTCATGAATACAACAGTAAAAAGCGCCTGAAATCAGGGCAGTCTAGCTGTACGCCTATGTATTCACATGTATTCGCGCTACTGTATTCATGAATACAACAGTAAAAAGAGCCTAAAATTATGGCAGTCCAACTGTACGCGCATGTATTCACATGTATTCGCACCATGTATTCATGAATAAAGCAGCAAAAAGCACCTAAAATCAGGGCAGTCCAGCTGTACGCGCATGTATTCACATGTATTCGCACCATGTATTCATGAATAAAGCAGCAAAAAGCACCTAAAATCAGGGCAGTCCAGCTGTACGCGCATGTATTCACATGTATTCGCACCATGTATTCATGAATAAAGCAGCAAAAAGCACCTAAAATCAGGGCAGTCCAGCTGTACGCGCATGTATTCACATGTATTCGCGCTGCTGTATTCATGA